AAAAAATTAAAAAATCATTACGTGAAATAAAATGTTAACTGGTATAATTTTTTTAAATTACATAAAAAAATGTAAACTTAAAAAAAAATTTTCAATTAATTTAAAATTTAAATAAATAAAAAAAAAATGTTAACTGGTATAATTTTTTTATTTATTACATAAAATAAAATAAAATAAAATAAAATAAATTAATTTAATTTAATTTAATTTAAATTAATTGAAAATGTAAATGAAATAAAATGTTAACTGGTCTATTTTTTTTAAATTACATAAAAAAATGTAATTAAATAAAAAAAAATAAAAATGAAAAAAAATTGTTAAATTTAAATGAATTTTAAATTTTAAGTTTTTTTATAGTTTTTAAAATGAAGCATCTCATTTTCATTTAGTTTTACTTGATGTTCTAAAATAACTGCAACAAAAATTAATAAAAAGCTACATAAACATTTTAAAACAACAAAAGTCATAAAAAATAACAAACACACCAAAAGTACAAGTAAAGTAAAATAAATATAGCAATAGCACAATAACAGGAGAAATCAATGGCATATTCCCATATAATATCTTATCAATATTACATGCAAGATATTAATTAAAGGTGTAAATATTTGTTCTGTCAACAAATTCTCCTCACCAAAATATCATTATTTTAAAGGGGTCATATGATGCTTTTTTAAAGATCATTATTTTGTGTATTTGGTGTAACAGAATATGTTGACATGCTTTAATGTTCAAAAAACACATTATTTTTCAAATACTGTACATTATTGTAGGTCCTCTATGCCCCGCCTCTCTCAAACGCTTCGTTTTCTACAAAGTCCCTCCTTCCGACAAGAGCAGTCTGCTCTGATTGGCCAGCTGACCCAGTGCATTGTGACTGGCTGAACACGTGTTAGAACGAGCCGTTTTAGGGGGGCGTGGCAGAGTCTTAACTTTGATAAAGAATATCTCTTTGGTTTTGAGACTTTAGTCTTTGCAACTTCAGGGATCTTATCTATGCACAATCAGCTTGTAACACTCCAAAGAGAAAGGAAAACTTGAAATCGCATCTTATGACCCCTTTAATGCAAAAACTATACTTTTTTTTTTTTTTTAAACATTACATTGAAAATAGGCCATGAATTTGTATTATGCACAAGAAATGAATGTATAATGCACTGGGCATCATAAACTGATTCATCATCAAATCATAATCCTGCATTGAATTTTCATTGTCATATTGATGCATTAATCATTAATATTATATTATTACACAAACGTAAATTTCCCAGTTTGAGATTATTTGCTGAAAAAATTACATAAAAGTGTGTTACATGAAATAAAATGAAATATAAAAAATAAACTTATTTTATTTCAGCTAGTTGCCAAAACATTCATTCTCATTTTCATTTAGTTGAATTTGATTAACTAAAATAACCAAAAGATAATGAAAATAAAATCAAATAAAAAAACAAAATTAACTAAAATCAAAAGAAAAAATAAAATTAAAATATAAAAATAAAAACTAATTCAAAACATAAATAAAAACTATAATAGTATCTCAGTGATATTAAAATAACGGTGTCTCTACCTAAAATATAAAAAAAGTGACAACAATGAAAACACCAAAAATGAAAGTTTTGGTATAATAATAAGAGAGACTGATTATTATGCAAATACTGAACATCTGCTGGATCAGATGTCATCGACTCATTTGTGTCTCGCAGAAGAATCATCAGACAGTTCCTCAGAGAAGAACAGAGAGAGACAGAAAACACTAGAGGAAGAGGAAGAGGAAGAGACAGGAAACGCATCATCACCTGATTCTCTTTGGCCGAGGACTCCATGAACGCTGCGTTCCACGATTCTGCCAAAGCTTTGCCCTCTTCACAGCTGATCACACTGAGAGAAACCAAATATACTTTATACAGCAACACATCTATGTTCATCTGACCTTTAGTTGAACTCTCCGAGATCAAAACATCATACAAAACAATTACTAACGATAAATTCACGCTTGAACGTTTGCATTGCAATAACTCCAAATATCAATGGGTTCACAATGTTTCAAACTGTAACTTCAACGTCACTGAACTAATGATTGGACTCATTAAATACAGGCAACAAACCCTGACTGTGACGGTGTTTAACTGCTGTGCAACAGTAATTAATAAAGGGATACATTTACGTACTGAATAACAACGGCATGAAACGTACACCAATGAAGCAAATGGAGATATTAATTAATGCACACACAGAAACACTCGTTTACAACACAGCATCAAAAACATCCGTTTAATCATGTGGTTATTTTCTCAGTTTTCCTTTTGACTGTAATTTTTGTTATGTGCATTTGTCATTTTTATTAGTTAATTTTTTTAATATTACTATTTAGGTTTATTTCCACTTCAACTTAATTTTTTTTCCTAGTTAGTTTCCAAGGCAACTCAAACTTTCTTATTTTCATTTAAAGTTTTTTTTTTGTTTCATTTATTTTAGCTTTATTTTAATTAGCAAAAATGTTTCAATAGTTTTGGTTTTAAAGATAAAACCTTGATGAAAGTTTTCAGATAAAAACCAGTGTTATTTTACCATTATTTATATACTATTATAGTTTTCATTTTAATTTTAGTTTAACTTTTATGTGCTTTTATCATTATTATTAGTTTTTAAATATTTAAATATTACTATTGGGGTTTTCATTTAGTTTTATTTCAGTTTTATTTAGTTTTCATTAATGAGACGTGATTACGAATGAACGATGGACAAGTAAGAGTTAAATCTGAATCCTGACGGAAGCAGAATCTCAGAGGATCGATACACTGCAGACGAGCGTTTGCACACAGTCTCTGCTTGTCAATGCGTTTAATTTCCTTTCCTCTCGTGTGTGTGTGTGAGTGTGTGCGTGTGTGTGTGTGAGAGAGAGAGAGAGAGTGAGTGTGAGTGTGTGTGTGTGAGAGAGCGAGAGAGTGAGTGTGAGTGTGTGTGTGTGAGAGAG